ATGCTGTTCACACACACCAAATTACCCTCCTAACACATATACTTGCACGTCTTGCACATGTACAGGCACATGCTGCAGGCATAGTCCTCTAAGGCAATCAAAGCACATCAAGGGTCCTCCCTATGTGTGATTTTAAGTTACATTAAGGAACCTTTGAGAGTGACTATTTCATAATGGCTCATACTTGATAAAAGCAGTTCTCAAGAGCAATTTATATGCCCAAGACTAACATCTGAAAAAACAAAAAAACAAAAAAAGAACAAAAGATAGTGTGAGGAGCAAACCAAAATTATTTTTTAAAGTTTCTAATAGCAGCAAAAATTAGACAATTTGTAAAAAGGGTAAATTTAACAATTTATAAAATAATTTAATTTTAAAGTAATTAGGAAAATACAGAAACTTTTTTTGTTAAGATTTGGTATGTTTTGTGTTAGAAATTTTTTGGTCCATTAACATTTACTTTTTTATATGAACTGAGAAATATAATTGGTGCTTAGACAGTCTCTACTTCTATCACTTAAAGTGCTAAAATTAGCATTCGAAATATACCCTGATGCTCCAAGAAGCTATATAAAAAATATAGTTGTATAGTTCCAAAAATCTCTAACTTTGTTCTTTTGATTTGATTTGATTAAAATCAAAATTTTAAATTTGATCTCTCTTGACCTCACCTACCAAAACCACAGTGATATTTCAACTTATGTGTTAGAGATGGCAAAATAATTTGCCTATCTTTAGTTATTTAAATAATATGACATAAAATAGCTTCTAGCCACTTCTTTTTTCTTTCTTTTGAGGTCACCAAAAGCTAATTTAGGACCCACTAATAGAACAGGAATATTGCTTTTAAACTTAGTTTATTCTTTGCTGATTTTATTTAAGACAGGTAAGGCCTCTCTCTGGTTCTGCCTCAGAAAAACAGGAGCCTCAGCTATTAGGCTGGAAATAGTCTTCTAGACAGACTTGAAGCCTACTGTTTTCAGGGGTTCCCTGTCTACAACCCAATGTAGAGAAACAGAATGTAAAAACTCTTTCCACTGACCTACACAAACTCACGGAGCAGGGGCTGAATAGAAAACCCTCTTTTGGATTAACCAGGTGCAGATTTGTGGCCTTAATTTTGAAGGCTATGATCATCTAGTTATGAAACATTAAATGTAACTGTTACTCTGTTTCCAGCATTATTTAGATTACAAGTAAAGTTAAGGAACTCTAGAAAGGCCATCCAGTTTGCCAACTTTACAAACCTGGCTTAATGCCAGGATTTAAGAGAAAGGTAATGGTGAGGAAGCATGAGATAGGAGAGCTGAAATATCAGTGAAGTTCCTCTTGGCTATTCAGAAAGAGTCTGTCATCAGTGACCCAAGAATTCATGCTATGTTAAAGAAGTCTCACGTGGGATTTGGAATGAAGCTCTAGAGAAGGCGGGAGAGTCACCTAGATCTCATTTACTCTGGCTTACGTGCGGGGAGGGTAGTGGGAAGATTCTTCCATTACTGTGATGCCCTTCATCAGCTTCCCAGAGAGGCCCAAATAGACTTTCCACTGGGGTACGAAAGGAGTGGTGAAGTCCAGGTGCTGAAAGTCCCCGGTCAAGATAATGTCACTGTTAATGACTAACAGGCATTGCCCAACTCTATGTACCAGTCCTCATTAATGGATATGAGGCTCACTTTCATGTTACCTTGTCAGCAGCACTGTGAGGAGGGGCTTTGCTTCACTTGTCAGTTGAGGAAGCCTCTGAGCAGTTTAACACCTTGCTTGTGGTGGCAGAGTAACAGGGTGATTCTGGAAGGCTCCTCTGCCAGGCTCTGGCATTTGTCTTTCCTTATGCCCTAGCATGGTTCATAACTCATTCTGTGGATATGCCAGTCCGTAGCACAAACCAACCTGCTGGTTGAAGTCTTCCTTTCCATCATTGTTTTTTCTCTTCCACCTCCATTTCCTCCCAAATATCTTATTATAAATGCAGATTTTTTTAAGCAGGTAAAAATGAAATAAGAGATTGAGTTGGAGGAAAGGAAATGACAGGGAAGATCTTTGTGTTGAGAGGAAAGAGAGAAAAAAACACAAACCCATCATGACAGCAAAGCTTTGGCTAACGTGCACAAGTGCTGTGAAAAAGAGGCAGATGTTTTTTAATCCCTTAGTCATAAATCATATTGGGACATCATTCTTTTTGTTTATTTGTTTAGGCTGAATGCAAATAAGCATTTGATTAGTTTCATTGTAACACAGTTGGCTTCAATGCTATTTATCAGAAAATGGAAAAATATTTTTATTTGCTTAATTACTAGCTTATGATTTGCTATTGAGTTTCTTTTTCAATAGATTGATGAATTGCATTCAGAAGGCACCTCACTTCCTGTAACATTGCGTTCTTTGATCCCACTAGAAATTTTTGTGTTTTAGGTTTTCCAGTCTCTCCTTGGATAGCAATGCTTTTCCCAACACCCTACCTTCATTTCCTTCTTTCTGTGCAGACACACATGCAGCGGTGCACATTCATCTGCCTAAAAGAATGTGGAGATTCCAAGGTTATCCTAAAATGGATCAATTTCAGGCTCCACGTTAATTTATATGTAGAATAAAAACATCTTCCTCTTTTGATAAGCCTTTCCCACCCTTGTTAACATACCGTGCTCTGTAACTGCAAAGGGACGGAAGATGAAGATATATCACATTTTAGAGCCAGTGGTAGAAGGGTGTTTTATTCGCATTCACAATTTCCCCACTTGCTTAAATTATTCTTATTCATACAGTAAATACAAAAGATAAAGAAAACCAAGGAGTTAAATTTAAAGAAAATAAAGCTAGTGACTTCAACTAGTAAAACTGAATTGCTTGCTTTTAAATTTGTCACATAACAGCTTCCATTTCCCCAGTGCAGAAATCATGACAGAAGATGTTGCCAGATTCTACACATTTTGGCTGCCTTTCATTCCAAGCAATTGCAAAATTGTAAATGGGGGAAAGGGCAGTTAGTTTCACCTGATACATTTTAATAGGGTCCATGATGGTGACATCATTCTGTTGTTTAAGCCTTGAATAAATGATACTCAATATCCATGAATAAATGAATTCACATTTGTTTTAATGGGGGTTGGCTTTGTTTTCTGGATGAGGATTGATTCACTAATAACCAGAAGTAACTCAGCTAGGTCCTGAGATAAATGTCTTTAATGCCCATTGTAGCCTTAATATGGGAAGCAACTTTGAAAAAATAATTTTCAAATAAATAAAAAAATCAAATATATATATTTTTCTGCTATATATATATATAGCCATATGTTTTTTATTTACTTCATTAGACCTAGATAATGAGAATTAGATTATAAGACACAAAGTTGTTAATATCAATGGAGTGTGCATCTGTTATATTGATTTTTTTCATTAATGATTTATTGAATTGTGTTCTTATAATCCTATATCTATATCTTATTATAAAACAATAATTTGCACACATCTAAGGTTAACATTTGCAAGACACTGGAAAAAACGTTAAGATGTCATTTCATACACTACAGTCTGCAATAATGATTTCAGTTCAAATCTGTCCCCATATCTTTTGCCAACAAAAACTGATTTATAAAGCATGTTCCCCAATCCAGAACCAGATAATATGGGAGATAATTACTAAGCCTGGTTAGAGTTTAAGAGCAATTTCCTGAGGCACCACTTGTAAAAGTGAAAGAACATACATTGGAATGAATGCTGGTCAGCTATATACGAAAAAGAAAAATGAAAAATTGTTACATAGAGCCTGTTTTCCAGTATTGGTTTAAGTAATAATCACAATGTCCCTGATGATCCCATAGAACCTTTCATAGTGTGATTTTATTATATAGACACACTCTTTTTAAGCTTTTTAGGCACATAGAAAAAGCCAAATTAATCATTGCAGAATTATATATCATTTATTTACCAACATGAGTGGTTTATCATGTAAAAGTAGTAGTGATTAAGACGTAAAAAAGTATTTGGTTTTCTTCTGGAAAAATATAAAAAGTATTTTTATTTCAAATAAGAAAAGAATCAGCTCTATTAATAAAATATTTTATCTTATTGTCTTATTAATGTGTTCTTATTTTAAAAGAACACTGAAAACTGCAAGATCATTGTTCAATGTTTTTATTGAAAGAAACCCCTTAAATTTTAGGGGCAAGCTCAGTGGCCCATGCCTGGAATCCCAGCACTTTGGGAGGCCAAGGCAGGCAGCTCACCTCAGCTCAGGAGTTCAAGACTAGACTGGCCAACATGGTAAAACCCCATCTCTACTAAAAATACAAAAATTAGCCAGGCATGGTGGCTGGTGCCTGTAGTTCCAGCTTCTTGGGAGGCTGAGGCAGGAGAACAGCTTGAACCCGGAGGCGGAGGCTGCAGTGAGTGTTGATCCTGCACTGCTCTCCAGCCTGGGAGACAGAGCAAGGCTCCATCTGAAATAAATACATAAATTGTAAAGGAAAATTAATTTTGAAGATTTAACATATAATTCAATCTAAGAAAAGACACCAATATATTTGTTTTAAAATTTAGTTTAAGATAAATCAGTGATAGGTATGTTTAATCTTGCTTTAGGAAACTACTACTAATTGGTGTTCACATTCTTCAGGGCCTCTAAATGTGTACCTGCCTAGAAAATAATGACATTTTCCTCCTATAAATTTTGACAAAACCAAATGAAGGACTCAGCAAAGCTTTGGCAAATAAAAACAAAGAATAACTGCCTAATTTAGGCTGTTTGAGGTTTTTTCTTTTTTTTAAAGTATCTTATCCATTTAGTTTTGACTTATTTACTTTGTATAAATTATTAGTTTTAGTTATTTGATTTGTCCATCCACAGCTGGAGAAAAATGGAAAATTTAAAAAGATAAATCTAGGTTAAAATTAAAACCCTCCACCTAGATATTTGCTACAGAGAAGATACTGTCATAGCATAGTGGATTGTGAAAACAAAAGCCTTTATCTTTTTGTGGCTTAAAGAAATCAAAACACAGTTATTTCTTATTTAAATCTTTATTAAAAGAAAAAAAATCGATTTAAAACAATGAGTAACAACAAATTTCATTAAATATTAAACATTTTAATTATCAAAGATATTTAGACAATACGTTTCTACCATTTCTGCACAGCAGAAGCACACCGATTATAGAGCTGTCATGTGCTCATGTGAGTTTGTTTTTGGCATAAAAGTATCTAAAGTCACACTTAAACAAATGTGATAATATTTTATAAACTGATAGTAACTTACTGTTGATTGATTCTCAATGTTTTCACAAATTATCATTATATGATTGACATTCTCTTAGGGTTAATACTTCTATGGACTCTTTCTGTAACACTGAGTAACCAACTGAATTAATTTCCTTAAAAGTTAGTAGTACTGATCAAATTATTTAAAACTGACTTGAAAATTATGTTCCTGTTTATAGTTGCACAATAAATTAACATATTGTAAGTAAACTGATTATTTCATACCAAAGGTTAGAAAATGAAATGGCATATATAGAATAGGCTTTGATGAAAATAAGTGATTGTTTAAAAGGGAGCTATTCAGTACATGACATTCATGAGCACCCTTTCGAGGAGTAAAGTTTCCCTTTGTAATTCCTAAAAGTTTCCCTTTCTGATCTTTGTAAAACACAGAGAAATGCAGTATTATACCTATTGTATTTTCAAAGATCTACCATAGAAAACATTTCATTTTTAAACTTCTTTTTTAGTAAAAAAACAAAGAAACCCGGCAAGTGTTCTTTCAGGGTTTGTTTTTTTTCTTCTTGCGTGTAGTACACATTCATGAATGTCCACTAGGCGCAAGGGAAATTGTTTAGCTGCACAATGTATTCTATAATAGTGAGGTTATCCAACAGAGCAAAATGACAAATGTTTTCCAATCGGTGAGCTAAGAGTGAAACAAATGCAATAAGACTTGTTTTAATAACGAAACATTGCAGGTTTTAATTTTTTTTAAACAATGTTTGTAAACTTGCCCATAAAAGCTGGGTAATATTAAACAGCCAGTAAGGCACTTTGTCAGAGGGCGAAGTAGTAAAGGCTGGATGATTGGCAATTTGTTTAATAGGAAACATTCTATACTTAAAGAGAGCAAACTCTGAAGCGGGGCAGTCCTTTAACTGATTTACTGTCCAACAAGAGTGGGAAAAGCTTTAAAATTTTTAATTTTACTTTGCTGACCAATTTCCCTGCAGAAGAAGTCTTTTAGTTGTAAATTAAAAAATATATTAGGAGCTATCAATTTAAATAATGTATCATTTTTCAATCTAAGATTTAAAAGAATATTAACATATTCAGTAGTATTTTCAAAACATCCAAGCCACTCTTTAAAAATGAATTACAAAACAAATGATCTTAGTATAAAAATGTTTTATGTTATTAACAATTCCCTTGCGATTTCTGATGGCTTCACATATTACAGTATAAGCTTTGGTATAAAACATGCAAATGCAAGCCAACAAGGTCGTGAATACAGTGTTGCAAAATACAAAGCACTTATGAAACAAATGTTGCACAGACACAGCAGATGGAGAAAAGGTAACACACAGCTGTAGGACGACCAGTTTGCTCTTCTACTGCTTCTTAGTTTGTGGATTTTCCTTTTGGAAAATCTTCAGCAGAGGTTGACTCACGTAATAAGGTCTTGCAGGAGAACCATCGTTTCTTTCTAAATCTTCCACTAGGAGGAAGAATGGTACAGAGTAAATATCAAAGCAGAACTGTAAGAGAAGTAACATCGCCATCTGCTGTATACTTGCTTTACAGCAGTTCAAAATACTTATTTTTTTAAAACAGCATAATTTGGCATCAACGTTACTGTAAACATAGTTATGAGAAAACAATCAGCCCTTGTTATGTCACTAAGATGTTATTTCATTCTGTGTAACAGGTCAGATTCTGAAATATTGCATGTCTCTCAGTTGCATGATTGAGAAAATAACTTTCACCTTCATTTTTTAAATATACTTTCTAAATTACTATATTTGTTTAAAATTGATTTTGTTTTGCCATCAACAATTTAGATAGTACAGCATTGAAAAATAAATATTGTGAAATTTCAGATTTCAAGCACATCGACTGCAAGTTTTGATCGACTGCAAGTTTTGAGGAATATTGCCTGTTTTTTTCACAGTTATTAGTTTGCTTTCCAAGAAAATGGCTTCCAAATATCTTCTCAAAAACAATGCTCATTTTTATTCTACATATTTGAATTACACAAATAAGTACTAAATGGAGACTCTTTTTCTGACTAGATATTAGCCCATAATATAAATTGGCAACTACTTTCATGTGTTGATTTATGTTTTAGTCAAGTGATTTTTCAACTTTTTTTTTTGAGACAGAGTTTTGCTCTGTCACCCAGGCTGGAATGCAGTGGCGTGATCATGGTTAACTGCGGCCTTGACCTCTTGGGCTCAAGCAACCCTCCCGTTTCAGCCTCCTGAGTAGCTGAGACTACAGGTGTGTGCCAGCACACTTGGCTAATTTTTATATTTTTAATAAAGATGGGGGTTCACCATGTTGTCTAGGCTAGTCTGGGACTCCTAGTCTCAAGCAATCTGTCCAGCTTGGACTCCCAAAGTGCTGGGATTACAGGTGTGAGCCACTGTATCTGGCCAATTTTTCAACTTTTATATATATCACAATCAGCTAGAGAACTTTATAATAATTCACATTGCGGCTCATATCAAATCACAATATATCAGAATCTCCTAGGCAGAGCACAGGCATCTATAGTTATAACAAATTCTCAGGTAGAGGTCACTATTCCACTAGTTCTTTGTTGTGCCCCTTGTCTTGTTGAATAATAAAATAATAATCTAGATAGATAAGTTGTCATTATTCTCTGCATTATGCTTCAAGAATAAGAATGCAGAAGGCTGCTTGCCAAAATGTGAAGCCAGGAGACACTTTTGAATACAATAATCTCAAGAATGTAAGCCAACAGCATTACATATTAAAAATCTTCCCTATTCATTGGCTTATTGCTATTAATTAATCTGCCACAGAGTCAATTTAAATCTAGGTTTCTACACTTGAAGATAATAAGTATTTATATCAATCTATAACACAATAATACATTTCTGACTCTTTTCTTGGATATATGGGTGATATTCAGAGCAACATGTTAGATCAACATGTTCCTTTCTGTCAATACATACATAATCCTTATACATAAGCTTAAGGTAAAAGCCAAGAAGATACACATTGATTCAATGCTCCTTTTGGGATGCATTTTTACACCATTAACCACATCATACACATTCGCACACAGGGGATGGCTAGGCAATGTGTGTGTCTGATTCGTGCTTTGTTCTGTCATTCAAAACTTATGCATGACTACCAGAAACCTCTGGCCAGCAGGGGTGGCAGGTGGGCATAACCTTCCTCCTAAGCCCTGCGGGGAGAGTTCCTAACCTGCAGTATGCGTCGCATAAAGGATGATGAGGGCCGACAGTATATTTCCTTAGGGTAAAATCTGAAGTGTCTTACTTTTCTCTTTCCTTGCTGAAAGTTGAGACAAAATTAAGCCTTTTGTAGAACAAAACCACACAATCTCTTTAATCTAGAAATACAGGTATGCTCATGAAAAGATATAATCACTCTTCTGAAACAAATTCATACTGGTTTTCTATCTAGCAGAAATAGGAAATTTGGGTTAAAGACAAAAGGCATGAGTTATGTAGCAATTTCAGTTTGTTCAGAACATTTTCACCATGGACAGAGGTTCATGTTGTTGGAAATGACACTCCAGAACTCAGATTGGACTTCAATATAAACATCATTCCAATAAAACAGAATGGGCTATGAAGGTTCCACGGTAATTTTTACCCAGTAATGCTCTCTGTAGAACCTATATAACATTAGCATCTATGTTTGTTATGGACTTGACTCACTGAAATATACTTCCTAGGGAACCATTAATACAAGTTTAATCACAGTTTAGAGAGTTGTCCACCAGCTTGAACAGTATAAATATAACCATAGCACCATATTTACAAATTTAGTACCATATGCTGGTTAACTATAAATCAATATTTTATGGCTAATAAATTACACATTTATAGTGTTTTTAAAAATTGCCTGAATATCCTTTACAAATATACACTTATAAAAAGAAAGGCTATCAAAGTGCTGCAATGGAAACAGCACACTGAGTTATAAAAGTTATTAAAACACTCTCGGCTACAGATTGTAAAAAACGTTTGACATTAACATTTTGATCTTTAGTTGGGACCACAGTCTATAAAGTAGACAGCAGCTAATGTCATCCAATGCCTGACACCTCAGGTGGTACCAGATGCTGACTTCTTAAAATTAAGCACAGAAATTTCACATTACTCAAAAGCAACATTTTCAAATTACAATCAACCTAATTTACACAACTTCTACTTAAATATGAGTGACACTGTTTGGAGCTTTTCTACTCTTTCTGCTTCTGGGGAACTAGTTGCTTCTTGATCAGAATTCCGTGAAGGTTAGGTGTTATGAAGTAGGGTTTTTCTGTAGATCCGTCATTTCTTTCCAGATCTTCACCTGTATATGCAGCAGCCAAAGCAGGCAAAAGCAGCGGCAGCAGGACAGTTAAACACGTTTTTACAAATTGAAGGGTCGAACAGGGAAAAATCAGAAAAATCAGTGTTAGTCAAATATAAGACAAATTGGCGCCATTTACTTGCTGATGCTGGGCAAAGCAAGAAGCCTTAATCTCTGCCAGGAAGCACTGAAACTTCATAAATCCCTCCCACTCCCAAAGAGATGTATTTTGATAGTTTAAAGGCTAAGGAGATATTCTACGTCCCTTCAAAAGTACCATCTTTAAATCTCGTATCTGTTCACTTCAGAAAGATATAAATTGCCAAATCCTCAGGGATGGAGCTGTATAGAAAGTGTTTTAATTCTGTGATAAATATAGAATAATAACAGAATTTCAGGAAGTGTATTAATTCCGTGATACATGTAGAATAATAACGAAGTTTCAAGTCACTTCTAATGGTAGTCTATACTCTAATGTTATAGATGAAGACCGTGAAGCCCAGGATAATAAAATAACTGCTGAAGTCAAAAGCTCTGAGGTAAATAAGATGAGATAGGGATCCAGCCTCTTGACATCTAGTCTTGCTTTTGTTCTACTTAACTATAAGGCATCCTGTCCCAAATTCTTGCAGTCTTCCTCAGGTTATATCTGAAAGCAAATGTCAATGTATTCTGACTCTTACAGTATGTTAATTTACCTTTCTGCTTTGCTTAGGCTAATATTAAGTTGATGGCATGTTCACTGTCCCCTCACCTGCTGGGTAGTTGGGGGAAAGCATCAGAATTACGCTGAGAAATAAGGATACATTTGCATGAAATTAAGTCTCCCACAGATACATACAATTCACAGCAGACAGTAGCTGTACTCTTGGGAATGGTTGTGTCATTGGTTTAGTAGATTTCTACATTAGACCTCACAGTGACCTTCCTCACATACGAAATGAAAAGCAAAGGAGGGAACATGATAGATGCTGAACAGTTTTCTCTTTTTGTCTTAATCCTATTCCTATACAATAGTCCTCTCTTATCCACAGCTTTGCTTTCTGCAATTTCACTTCCTGTGGTTTTAGTTACCCAAGGTCCAGAAATATGAAATGCAAAATTCCAGAAATAAACAATTCATTAATTTTAAATTGTGTACTATTATGAGTAACATAATGAGACCTCAAACCATCAAGCTCTGGCCCATCCTGGCAGGGAATCCTCCCTTTATACCAGCAACTCCTGACTGTCTACGATGCCCTTCCCTTAGTCACTTAGTAGACTTCTCAGTTATCTATTGCACGATCACAGTGCTTGTGTTCAAGTAACCCTTATTTTAGTTAATAATGGCCCCAAAATACAAGAGTAGTGTTGCTGGCAATTTGGATATGCCAAAAGAAACCGTAAAGTGCTTCCTTTAAGTGAAAGGGTGAAAGTTCTCGAGTTAATAAGAAATAAATTTATGCTGAGGTTGCTAAGATCTATATAAGAACAAATCTTTCTTCTTTTTGAGGTGAAATCTCATTCTATCACCTAGGCTGGAGTGCAGTGGCGTGATCTCTGCTTGCTGCGCCTCTGCCTCCCAGGTTCGAGGGATTCTGTTGCCTCAGCCTCTCAAGTAGCTGGGATTACAGGTGCCCGTCACCACACCTGGCTAATTTGTGTATTATTTGTAGAGACAGACTTTCGCCATGTTGGCCAGGCTGGTCTCGAACTCTTGATCTCAAGTGATCTGCCTGCCTCGGCCTCTCAAAGTGCTAGGATTACAGGCGTGAGCCACCGCGCCCAGCAGAACAAATCTTTTTTTTTTGAGACAGAGTCTTGCTTTGTTGCTAGGCGCCAGGCTGGAGTATAGTGGCACAATCTCGGCTCGCTGCAACCTCCGCCTCCCGGGTTCAAGCAATTTTCCTGCCTCAGCCTCCCGAGTAGCTGGGACTACAGACATGTGCCACCACGCCCAGCTAATTGTTGTATTTTTTTAGTAGAGACAGGGTTTCACCATGTTGGCCAGGATGGTCTCAATCTCTTGACCTCATGATCCACCCGCCTTGGCCTCCCAAAGTGCTGGGATTACAGGTGTGAGCCACTGTGCCTGGCCAGAACAAATCCTCTGTATGTGAAATTGTGAAGAAGAAAAAAGAATTTTAAACTAGTTTTGTTGTTGCATGTCAAACTGCAAAATTTATGGCCACAGTGTATAAGTGCTTAGTTAAGATGGAAAAGGCATTACATTTGTGGATGGAAGATGTGCACAGAAACATGTTCTAATTGACAGCAGTTGGGTTTGGTACTATTAGAGAATGCAGGCCTCTCCTGGGGGGTCTTGGAATGAATCTCCCATGATAAGGAGGGATTACTGCTATATATCACATATCTATCCTGTTTTTACCCTCAAGGTACTGGTAAGAAGTCTGCTCTGGATCACATTAATAATCATCTGCAACTATTACTTTTTTCCCACTCTAGGATCATGAATCTCAGTACCTTGTAATAATAAAAAGATGCTATGTTTCTATAAATGAAGTGTTTACCAATAGTTGGCATTGTAAAAAAAAAACCACACACACACATACACACATACCAGTTTTATGGCAGCCAAGATAATAGGTATAAATATATACCAGGCTGGTCTTGAACTCCTGACCTCATGATCCACCCACCTTAGCCTCCCAAGTGCTGGGATTACAGGTGTGAGCCACCGTGCCTGGCATATATGTGTGTGTGTATGTGTGTGTGTGTATATACATATATATATATATTTCTACACAATCAGAATTCAGCTCAGGGCATCACTTAAGAAGAATATTTTACAAAATATGATGTTGCCCATAGTAACTGCTGGGGCAGGAAGGGAAATACAATATAAGTTTCCTTGTTCTTTGTTATTGCAGACTAAAGTCTCTGAAAGGAGATGATTCATGTCAACATGAATCATCTAGACATTTCCTGAGACATATTTTGAGAAGCATTTTCAGCCACAAGAATGGGGAAGATCACACAGTGATCTCCAGATATTGCTCCCATGATTAGCGTTAGAGATGAGAGGAGAAATCTTTGAGCATTCCAGAGCCCTGTCTCCACCATGTTTTAGGACTTGACCTTACTCTTGTGCTCCTTCTTCCATCCCATACCTGAACTGGAGTTTGTTCATGTGACATTTTCTAGCTAGATGGCTTTTCTTAAACCACTGAAGCACTAAGAATATATTAAACATTTCAGTTTCATTTACAACCAGAGGAAGAGCTAACTAGTACATAAAGTTCTCCTGAATTCTTTGTCTGGTTATTGAGAATTAATTTTAACATGGTCAGAAACAAACAAACAAACAAATGAAAAACAAGGCCAAACTACTTTCTAGGAGGTTTCTTTGAATATATCTCCCTAAAGTTATCTTCTCTCTTGATCCCAGCGTGAAGTTGGTGCTGATTACTCTAAAATGCAAACTGTAAGTTTTGTACATGCAGATTGCTCAGTAATGCCCTGTCAGAAAATAAGTGTTCTCTGTTTCTCTTAAGGGCAATATGCTAGAGAAATAATCTCTCAAGATGTGTAGTTGTGCAGCTAACAAGTTATGCTCTTTTACTTGCTGACTCTACTTTCTGCTGGTTTGCCAAAGAAATGGCATTGAAGGTGAGAGCCAGATCAAGCTTCTGATAGGTACTAGGTTCTCTAGGACTTTTCAGGTGAGGTACTAATATAAAAAATAAATCATTTTTTTTCCCTCAGAGCCAGGATCTTGCTCTGTTACTCGGGCTGGAGTACCGTGGCACAATCATAGCTCACTACAGCCTTAAACTCCTGGGCTCAAGTGATCCTCCACCTCAGCCTTCTGGGTAGCTAGGACTACAGGTGCATGCTACCATGCCTGGCAAATTTATTTATTTATTTATTTTGTAGAGATAGGGTCTCACTATGTTGCCGAGGCTTGTCTCAAGCTGGGCTTCAAGCAATTCTCGCTGTCTTGGCTTCTCAAAGCACTGGGATTACAGGTATGAGCCACGGTGCCTAGCCAAAAAGGAAAACCCTATTTTTGTATGGGAGCTGCATAGGTAACTATGGAAGCAACATGTATAAGTCAGTGATGAAGCTCTAAAGAAATATTTTAACTCTACGTATCAAAATTAATCCGACTATTTCCTAAAAGTACTCCTCTCTAAATCCTATCCATTTGTCATTGTGATGCATAGTGTAAATTGGCCCTATTTGTCCTTGAAACCACCTTGCCATCTTGGCTTTATCAGAATCTATAAATACTCTCCTCAAAAAATTCCACATATCTAGTTCCCAGAGCCTAGTTATGTCTTCAGTTCTGTTAACAAAGCACAACAGAAGCCAATTATTATTATTGACTTAAAAAAAATCAAGAAATGAACAAAATAATTTCATGTTAGCACCATGCCATGAAGCCTGGGTTTATTTCAGTAGTGGACTCTTCTGTGCTTTGCAAACCATTCTCTTAGCTGGTAAGATTTCTTTTTCAATTTTATATTTTTCCTCAAGTTTTGTTAAGGTATAATATTTTCCCCCAATGTTACTGAGGTATAATTAACAACAATTGTAAATACTTAAGGTGCATAGTGTTTTGATATATGCATATATCGTAAAATTGCCACAGCCACGCTACTGAACATGTCCATAACCTCCCATAGTTATCTTTTTGTGTGTGTGGTGAGACTACTTAAGATCTCAGCAAATTTCAAGTTAAGAGTACAGTATGATTAACTCTAGTCACCATGCTGTACGTGAGAGTGCCATAATTTATTCATCCTGCATAACTGAAAGCTTGTACCCTTTGACTAACACTGCTCCGTTTTACTGTCCCCTCCATCTCTGTGTCTATGAGTCTGACTTTTTTAGATTCCACAGGTAAATGAGATAATAAAGTATCTGTCTCTCTGCATCTGACTTATTTCTCAGGTATTTAGGTTTAAAGAGCAGCTATTAAGAAATATCTCTTTCCAGATAAATATGTTTTGTGGTTACAGTCAGGTAACAGCAGATCCCCAAGCCAGCTAAGGACATGGGCCTTCACCGTCTCACCTTTTAGTTATACACTGAAAGAGGAAAACACACATACTGAATACTCACAGAAGCAAATGAAAATTGTTTCAACACACATTGCATAGACGCTGAAGAACCCATGTGCAATCAGGTAAGACCCAAAAATGACCGTCTGTAAATGGTAAAGAAGAGAACCAACATGTTATATACTTCGTCCAGAAGAAGAATAACGCAGCTGTAAATGAAAGCTGTGATGAGAAAGTTTTGAAGTACTCTGTATTGGAAAAGATTTCAACATAGAGACCAAAAAGTTCAGTGATAATTCTTTTGCATGCTTTGTTCTGAGACTTAAACACGTTTTATTAAATTACCTGCCTTTTCTCTTTTGGTAGTATTATTTTTCTTTCTTTTTTTGTTAATAAAACAGAAGTGTATTTCTCCCTAGGGTAACAGTTTATAATAGGTGTTCCAGTTAATAGAACAACCCTTCTCAACACAGTGATGCAGGGACTCTGGACATATGCCTAGCTCTTTAGAAGAATGAGAGAACAGATTTCTTTATCAAGCAAAGTGACTTTGGCAATGATATTTTATGTCTCTTCAATCAGTTGATGCCAGTGTTTTTTATTTCTGGAATATATTTTTTAATTTTTTAAAAAAATTTATTTTACTTTAGGTGCATACTATATCTGGCATTTCTCCCCATGTTATTCCTCCCCCCCCCACCCATCCCCCGCTGTCTCTCCCCTACCCCTGCCAAGTGTCCCCAGTGTGTGATGCTCCTCTCCCTGAGTCCATGTGTTCTCATTGTTCAACACCCATCTATGAGTGAGAACATACGGTGTTTGGCTTTCAGTTCCTGTGTCAGTTTGCTGAGAATGATGGTTTCCAGATTCATCCAAGTCCCTACAAAGGACATGAACTCATCATTTTTTATGGCTGCATAGTATTCCATGGCGTATAAGTACCACATTTTCTTTGTCCAGTCTATCATTGATGGGCATTTGGATTGGTTCCAGGTCTTTGTTATTGTACACAGGGTTGCAATGAACATACGTGTGCATGTGTCTTTATAGTAGAATGATTTATAGTTCTTTGGGTATATACTCAGTAGTGGGATTGCTGGATCAAATGGAATTTCTATTTCTAGATCCTTGAGCAATTGCCACATTGTCTTCAACAATGGTTGGACTAATTTACACTCCCAACTGTGTAAGAGTGATCCTATTTCTCCACATACTCTCCAGCATCTGTTGTCTCCAGATTTTTTAATGATCACCAGTCTAACTGGCATGAGATATCTCAATGTGGTTTTGATTTGCATTTCTCTAATGACCAGTGATGATGAGCATTTTTTCATATGTTTGTTGGCCTCATATATGTCTTCTTTTGTAAAGTGTCTGTTTATATCCTTTGCCCAATTTTGAATGGGTTTTTTTTTTTCTAGTATATCTGTTTCAGTTCTTTGTAGATTCTGGATATTGTCAAAATCTACCCTTTGTCAGATGGGTAGATTGCAAAAATTTTTTCCCATTCTGTTGGTTTCTGATTCACTCTAATGATGGTTTCTTTTGAAAAGCTCTGGAGTTTAATTAGAAGCTCTGGAGTTTAATTAGATTCCATCTGTCTATCCTGGCTTTTATTGCCATTGCTTTTGGTGTTTTAGTCATGAAGTCCTTGCCTACGCCTACATCCTGGATGGTTTTGCCTACATTTTCTTCTAGTGTTTTTATGGTGTTAGGTTTTATGTTTAAATCTTTGATCCATCTGGAGTTAATTTTAGTGTAGGGTGACAGGTAGGGGTCCAGTTTCTGCTTTCTGCACATTGCTAGCCAGTTTTCCCAATACCATTTATTAAACATAGAGTCATTTCCCCATTGCTTGTTTTTGTCAGGTTTGTAAAAAATCAGATGGTTATAGATGTGTGGTGTGTGTGGTGTTTCTTCTGGGGTCTCTGTTCTGTTCCATTGGTCTATGTCTCTGTTTTGGTACCAGTACCATGCTGTTTTGATTACTGTAGCCTTGTAGTATAGTTTGAAGTCTGGCAGTGTGATGCCTCTGGCTTTGTTCTTTTTGCTTAGGATTGTCTTGGCTATGCAGGGTCTTTTGTGATTCCATATGAAGTTTAAAGTGGCTTTTTCCAGTTCTGTGAAGAAGGTCATTGGTAGCTTGACGGGGATAGCATTGAATCTATAGGTTACTTTGGGCAGTATGGCCATTTTCATGATATTGGTATGTCCTAACCATGAGCGTGGAATATTTCTCCATCTGTTTGTGTCCTCTCTTATTTCATTGAGCAGTGGTTTGTAGTTCTCCTTGAATAGGTCCTTTAGGCCTTGGCTATAACTCTGGCATAGGGCAGCTTCTCCTGCTACCTATCCTGCCCTCACTTTCTTACCAGTGTATCTCAGGACACAGCTTCCTGACATACTTTCTGCATGTAATCCTCTGTCTTAGATTTATCTCCAAGGAACCCAGTCTCTAAAGTGGAATGTGGGTTGGTATAAAATAAGGCCAATAATGTTAGCTATCATTATTATTTCTATTCCTTTTTAGAATTGTGCTATCTTTGATAAAACACAGACTCAACAAGAGCCAGCTGCTAGGGAGTGAATTGTGTGCACTCTAAATTCATTTGTCAAAGCCCTAAGCCCCAATGTGACTTGAAGGTGGGACCTTTGGGAGGTGATTAGGTCAGGAGGATTGGATTAGTGTCCTTTATAAGAAGAGAAATGATAGAGATAATCTCTGTCTCTCCCCACCATGTGAAGATATGGGAAAGTGTATTTCTGCACACCAGTAAGAGGGCCCTCACCAGAAATCAAGTCAGCTGACACTTTGATCTTGGACTTCCCAGCCTTCAGAATGGTCAGGAATAAATTTCTTTTAAGTTTTAAGTCTATAGCATTTTTGTTATAACAGCCTGGACTGACTCAGATACCAGCTCTTACCAGCAAAGGTACCCAGTAGTAATTTAAAGATGTTGGTCCTTGTGCAATCACTGGTAATCTTTGTGTGAAGAATAGGAAGGCCAGAACACCTACATTGAAAAGGTAGAACATGTATATTATACATTTGCAAAGGAATATAGTTTTTTTTTTTGTAGTAAAGCAGTTCTTCCAAGCATCTTTTAAACTTTTTAATTATTTTTATCATTATTACTTACCTATACTTCCAGCAACTAGAATTTTCCCCAGGAATAATACAAAGTATGTAACTTCATCTGTAACTGCAACCCTGAGTGTCAGAAAAAAAAAGAAAGCATAATTTTGTGTTTAAAATATACTTGGTACTTGAAATTTATGGCAGTAAATATTCATGAGTTTATTTTGGTATGTCTTTGCTGGAACTGTATTTGGCAACTGTTTTGCACGAAATGAAGGTGGAACTTATGGATGATGTTCTGACTTATTTTTAATGTAAACAGAAGATGGCATTGTAGGGCCGTCAGGAGCCCTGCAGTGGTGGTGTCGGTCTCTCTCTCTCTCTAATTTGAAGCCTACAGACACGCTGAGTCCTGAGGATGCTGTATTCTTCTCTGATTTTGTTCACTCAGGCTCCACCAATTCTGGGAGGGGGAAAGATGATACTGTGGTTCACCTGGGGGAATTTCTTGAGCAGAGGGGATAATAAAAGTGAAAAAATGCCGGTGGGTGTAAAGACTCAGGTGAATGATGGATGCAACAATTCTCAGATATGAAAATAAATTAATGATATGAGATATTTAAATCTATCAAGTTAAAAGATAATATTCATATCTAATAATCCCACCAGCACTTTAAATAACAACACGTGAAGGATGTAATGTTCAAGGTTCACTAAATTGTTGAATTACAATGTTCAGCCTGATTACTTACTTTAAAACATTTCTCATCAGCAGATTGAAAGCATCTTTTGCTGACCTGCAGAAGTTTCTGCCATATATTGCAATCTGAGGAAGACAGTTGATATTATTCCAGAGTCAGTAACACACTCTAGCAAAATCAAAGGACAATCCAATGACAGGAAGGTAACCAAATTAATTCCTGTCATTTGTAGGGCTATCCCAACTCTTATTTCTAACATGTGGATCTGTGGGACACGCTGTGTGTCCTCAGCTCTACAGAACTCTCAGGGTCACTGACAATCAGGTGTGCTTCAGATGCTGTATGCCCTCAAAGTCTGAGGAATTCGACATCCTTAAACAGAGGCAGGTCTTTTTTCTCAAATTCCAGATAATAGCTTCTGTCTTTAAAACGTTTTGGCTAGAGTTTATTGCTGAAAAGGTTAAATACTGAAGTCTCTACATAAAAAATTACTCTTAAGGAAATCCAATGCCTTTCATTACACTTGATTTACTGATTAAAAGGCTCAACATAATACTCTCACTGGAGGTAAATTAATGACTATTTGAATCTCCATAACTATTCCAATCACTTTTCCAGACCCTGTGCTACTTATGATAATAAGCAAATGTCATAAGGTTATACTTTAGCTTTCTAAGTTTTGGAAGAATTATATTTCTGGATCCCATATGCTAAAATACCACTAAGGAGTTTCCATTTTGCATAGGAAACAAGTAAAACTCTGTCAAGCATTGTCAGTGTTCACACATTTTGCCACAGATTCATAAAAAGGATAAGACCCTTCTTTAAAATTATGTAAATTCCAGAATTAGAAAGTATTTCCTTTTCAGAGATTAAATATGATTTCTTCTCACTAAACTATGACAAAGACACACACAACCATTTTCTATCCAACACACTTAAAAGTTTCCAATGTACATAATATTGTTTCTCTCAAAAAAGATTGAAGGTAATAATAAAATATAGTTCAGATACTATCTCAACTAGGGAAGCATATCCCTGAATTGTGCATTGGATGCACAGTACTTCTAGCAGCATGGTGATAAATTCAACTGCATAATGTAAAAGTGCTTTAGAAAGGGCAATGTAGACATAAGGTTTGGGATTGCAAAGAAGCAGCTTAGTAAATAAAAAATAATCTACCTACCATAATATAGGCATTTCTGTTTAAAAACTTTATTGCATTTTCCAAACACCAGAAACAGCATCTCAGGCAGCATTTTAGGAATTTAGAAAGTGTGTTCTGGGTACCTATGAGAAGGAGGTATTTAAATCTACTAATGATTTGCAGCTGAACCTTATGAATCAAACTAAATAATAATACAACATTTAGAATGAGATTTAAAATTTCATATTGTCATAAAATATACATAATATAAAATTTGCTATTTGAACCATTTTTAAGTGTACAGTTCAGTGGCAATGAATACATTTATAATGTTGTACAACCATCACTGCTATCCATTTCCAGAACTTTAAAACCTCAAATAGAAATTCTATGCCTTTCAACAGTAACTCCTCATTCCCTTCTTCCCCCAGTGCCTAGTAACTTCTATTATATTTTTTGTCTCTATAAATTTGCTTCTTCTAGGTGTCTCAAATAAAAGGAATCATATAATATTTATCCTTTTATATCTTGCTTATTTCACGTAGCATGATGTTGTCAAGGTTCATCATTTCCTTCCTTTTTAAGGTTGAATAATATTTCATTGTATATTTTCCCAGCACCATTAGTTGAAAAGACTAATTTTGTTTATTTATTCATTTGTTGATGGAAATGTGGGTTGTTTATACCTTCTGGCTATTCTGAATAATGCTGTTATCAACAGTGATGTGCAAGTATCGGTTAGAGTTCCTGCTTTCAATTATTTGCATATATATCGAGATGCAGGATTTCTGGGTCACATAAAATTATATTTTAAATTTTTTTTAGAAAGTGCCATACCATTTTCTACAGTGACTACACCATTTGGCATTCCCTCCAGCAATACACAAGGGTCCCAATTTCTCCACATTCTTACCAAGTTGTTATTTTCTGGTTTTTGTGTTTTTTTTTTTTTTTCATATATATATTAGCCATTCTTATGTTTATGGAGTAGTATCTCATTGTGGTTTTGATTTGCATTTCTCTAATTACTAGTGATATTAAGCATCTTTAAAATATATGTATATCTACATATATATATATATATATATATATATATCTTATTGCATTTTAGGTTTTGGGATACATGTGAAGAACATGCAGGATTATTGCATATGTACATACATGGCAATGTGGTTTGCTGCATTCCTCCTGATCACCTGTATCTGGCATTTCTCCCCATGTTATCCCTCCGCAATTCCCTCCCACCACTGTCCCTTCCTTAGTTCCCCCCACAGACTTCACTGTGTGATGCTCCCCTCCCTGTGTCCATGTGTTCTCATTGTTCAACACATGCCTATGAATGAGAACATGTGTTTTATTTTCTGTTCTTGTGTCAGTTTGCTGAGAATGATGCTTTCCAGATTCATCCATGTCCCTACAAAGGACACAAACTCATTGTTTTTGATGGCTGCATAGTATTCCATGGTGTATATGTGCCACATTTTCCCTGTCCAGTCTATCATCGATGGGCATTTGGGTTGGTTCCAAGTCTTTGCTATTGTAAACAGTGCTGCAATGAACATTCATGTGCATGTGTCCTTATAATAGAACGATTTATAATCCTTTAAATATATACTCAGTAATGGGAATCCTGGGTGAAATGGAATTTCTATTTCTAGGTCCTTGAGGAATCTCCACACTGTCTTCCACAATGGTTGAACTAATTTACACTCCTACCAACGGTGTAAAAGTGTTCCTATTTCTCCATATCCTCTCCAGCATCTGTTGTCTCCAGATTTTTAATGATCGCTAATCTAACTGGAGTGAGATGGTATCTCAATGTAGTTTTGATTTGCATTTCTCTAATGACCAGTGATGAGGAGCATTATTTCATATGTTTGTTGGCCTCACGTATGTCTTCTTTTGAAAAGGGTCTGTTCATGTCCTTTGCCCACTTTTTAATGGGCTTGTTTCCTTCTTGTAAATATGTTTTAGTTCTTTGTAGATTCTGGATATTAGCCCTTTGTCAGATGGGTAGATTGCAAAAATTTTTTCCCATTCTGTTGGTTGTCAATTCACTCTAATGATTGTTTCTTTTGCTGTGCAGAAGCTCTGGAGTTTAATTAGGTCCCACTTGTCTATTTTGGCTTTTGTTGCCAATGCTTTTGGTGTTTTGGTCATGAAGTCCTTGCCTATGCCTATGTCCTGGATGGTTTTGCCTAGATTTTCTTCTAGGGTTTTTATGGTGTTAGGTCTTATGTTTAAGTCTTTAATCCATCTGGAGTTAATTTTAGTGTAAGGTGTCAGGAATGGGTCCAGTTTCTGCTTTCTGCATGTGGCTAGCCAGTTTTCCCAACACCATTTATTAAACAGGGAATCCTTTCCCTATTGTTTGTTTTTGTCAGGTTTGTCAAAGATCAGATGGTTGTAGATGTGTGGCGTTGCCTCTGAGGCCTCTGTTCTGTTCCATTGGTCTATATCTCTGTTTTGGTACCAGTACCATGCTGTTTTGATTACTGTAGCCTTGTAGAATAGTTTGAAGTCAGCTAGAGTGTTGCCTCCAGCTTTGTTCTTTTTGCTTAGAATTGACTTGGCTATGCAGGCTCACTTTTGGTTCCATATGAAGTTTAAGGTGGTTTTTTCCAGTTCTGTGAAGAAGGTCATTGGTAGCTTGATAGGGATAGCATGGAATCTATAAATTACTTTAGGCGGTATGGCCATTTTCACGATGTTGATTCTTCCTAACCATGAGTATGGAATGTTTCTCCATCTGTTTGTGTCCTCTCTTATTTCATTGAGCAGTGGTTTGCAGTTCTCCTTGAAGAGGTCCTTTACATCCTTTGTTAGTTGTATTTCTAGGTATTTTATTCTCTTTGTAGCAATTGTGAATGGCAGTTTATTCTTGATTTGGCTCTCTGTTTGTCTGTTATTGGTGTATAGGGATGGTTGTTATTTTTGCACATTGATTTTGTATCCTGAGACTTTGCTGAAGTGGCTTATCAGTTTCAGGAGATTTCGGGCCAAGATGATGGGATCTTCTAAATATACAATCATGTTGTCTGCAAATGGAGACAATTTGATTTCCTCCTTTCCTAATTGAATACCCTTTATTTCTTTTTCTTGCCTGATTGCTCTGGCTAGAACTTCCAATACTATATTGAATAGGAGTGGTGAGAGAGGGCATCCTTTTAGTGCCAGATTTCAAAGAGAATACTTCCAGTTTTTGCCCATTCAGTATGATATTGGCTGTGGGTTTGTCAAAAATAGTTTTTATTATTTTGAGATACGTTCCATCAATACCTAGTTTATTGAGAGTTTTTAGCATAAAGGGCTATTGAATTTTGTCTAAGGGCTTCTCTGCATCTATTGAGATAAACGTGGTTTTTTCCTTTGGTTCTGTTTATGTGGAGAATCATGTTTATAGACTTGCATATGTTGAACCAGCCTTGCATCCTCATGATGAGACCTAGTTGATCGTGATGGATAAGCTTTTTGATATGCTGTTGCAATCAGTTTGCCAATATTTTGTCGAAGATTTTTGCATCTATGTTCATCATGGATATTGGCCTGATGTTTTCTTTTCTTGTTGAGTCTCTGCTGGGTTTTGGTATCAGGATAATGTTGGTCTCATAAAATGATTTGGGGAGGATTGCCTCTCTTTGGATTGTTTGGAATAGTTTCAGAAGGAGTGGTACCAGCTCTTCTTTGTATGTCTGGTAGAATTTGTCTGTGAACCCATCTGAACTTGGGCTTTTTTTTGGTGGGTAGGCTATTAATTGCTGCTTCAACTTCAGCCCTTGTTTTTGGTCTTTTCAGGTTTCAACTTCTTCCTGGTTTAGGCTTGGGAGGGTGCCAGTGTCCAGGAATTTATCCTTTTCTTTGAGGTTTACTGGTTTATGTGCACAGAGCTGTTTGTAGTAATCTCTGATGGTGGTTTGTATTTCTGTGGAATTGGTGGTGATATCCCCTTTAGTGTTTTTATTGCATCTATTTGATTCTTCTCTCTTTTCTTTTTTATTAATCTGGCTAGTGGTCTATTTTGTTGATCTTTTCAAAAAACCAGCTCCTGGATTTGTTGATTTTTTTTGAAGGGTTTTTTGTCTCTCTATCTCCTTCAGTTCTGCTCTGATCTTAGTTATTTCTTGTCTTCTGCTAGGTTTTGAGTTTTTTTGATCCTGCTCCTCTAGCTCATTCAAATTTGACAATAGGGTGTCGATTTTAGATCTTTCCTTGCTTCTCATGTGGGCATTTATTGCTCTATATTTTCCTCTAGACACTGTTTTAAATGTGTCCCAGAGATTCTGGTATGTTGTGTCTTTGTGCTTATTGGTTTCGAAGAATATCTTTATTTCTGCCTTCATTTCATTGTTTATCCAGTCAACATTCAAGAGCCAGTTGTTCAGTTTCCATGAAGCTGTGTGGTTCTGTGTTAGTTTCTAAATTCTGAGTTCTAACTTGATTGCACTGTGGTCTGAGAGACTGTTTGTTATGATTTCTATTCTTTTGCATTTGCTGAGGAGTGGTTTACTTCCAATTATGTGGTCAATTTTAGAGTAGGTGTGATGTGGTGCTGAGAAGAATGTATATTCTGTGGATTTGGGGTGGAGAGTTCTGTAAATGTTTATTAGGTTTGCTTGTTCCAGGTCTGAGTTCAAGTCCTGGATAGCCTTGTTAATATTCTGTCTCGTTGATCTGTCTAATATCGACAGTGGAGTGTTAAAGTCTCCCGCTATTATTGTGTAGGGTAAGTCATTAAGAACTTGCCTTATGTATCTGGGTGCTCCTGTATTGGGTGCGTATATATTTAGGATCGTTAGCTCTTCTTGTTGCATTGATCTTTTTACCATTATGTAATGTCCTTCTTTGTCTCTTTTGATCTTTGTTGGTTTAAAGACTATTTTATCAGAGACTAGGACTGCAACTCCTGCTTTTTTTGCTCTCCATTTGCTTAGTAAATCTTCCTCTCTCCCTTTATTTGAGCCTATGTGTATCCTTGCATGTGAGATGGGCTTCCTAGATACAGCACACCAATGGGTTTTGACTTTTTATCCAATTTTCCAGTCTGTGTCTTTTGATTGAGGCTATTTACATTTATGGTTAATATAGTTATATGTGAATTTGATCCTGACATTTTGATGCTGGCTGTTTGTTCTGCCTTTTAGTTGATGCAGTTTCTTCATTGTGTCGATGCCCTATAACATTTGGCATGTTTTTGGAGTGGCTGGTACTGGTTGTTCCTTTCTATGTTTAGTGCTTCTTTCTGGAGCTCTTGTAAAGCAGGCCTGGTGGTGATGAAATCTCTGAGTACTTGCTTGTTCTAAAAGGATTTTATTTCTCCTTCACTTATGACACTTAGTTTGGCTGGATATGAAATTCTATGTGGAAATTTCTTTTCTTTCATGATGTTGAATATTGGCCCCCACTATCTTCTGGCTTGTAGGGTTTCTGCTTAGAGATCTGCTGTGAGTCTGATGGGCTTCCCTTTGTGGGTAACCTGATCTTTCTCTCTGACTGCCCTTAGCATTTTCTCCTTCATTTCAACCCTGGTGAATCTGATGATTATGTGCCTTGGGATTGCTCTTCTTGAGGAATATCTTTGTGGTGTTCTCTGTATTTCCTGGTCTTGAATATTGGCCTGCTTTACTAGGTTGGGGAAGTTTTCCTGGATAATATCCTGAAGAGTATTTTCCAGCTTGGATTCATTCTCTCCATCACATTCTGGTACACCTATCAAACGTAGATTAGGTCTTTTCACATAATCCCATATTCCTTGGAGGCTTTGTTCATTTCTTTTTATGCTTTTTTCTCTAATCTTGACTTCTCATTATATTTCATTGAGTTGATCTTCAATCTCTGATATCCTTTCTTCTGCTTGTTCAATTTGGCTGCTGAAACTTGTGTAGGCTTCACAAAGTTCTCATGTTGTGTTTTTCAGCAGCATCAATTCATTTATATTCCTCTCTAAGCTGTTTATTCTCTTTAGCATTTCATCGAACCTTTGTTCAAGGTTCTTAGCTTCTTTGCATTGGGTTAGAACATGTTCTTTTAGCTCAGAAAAGTTTATTACCCACCTTCTGAAGCCTGTTTCTGTCAATTCATCAGACTCATTCTCCATCCAGCCTTGTTCCCTTGCTGGTGAGTAGTTGTGATCCCTTGGAGGAGGAGAGGGGTTCTGGTTTTGGGTGTTTTCATCATTTTTGTGCCAGTTTCTTCCCATCTTTGCAGATTTATTTACCTGTGGTCTCTGTAGTTGTTGACTTTCAGATGGGATCTCTGAGTGGATGTCCTGTTTGTTGATGATGAAGTTACTACTTTCTGGGTCTTAGTTTTCCTTCTAATAGGCCCCTCTGCTGTAGGACTGCTGGAGGTCCACTCTAGACCCTGCTTGCCTTGGGATCACCTGTGGCAGCTGCAGAACAATAAGGGTTGCTGCCAGTTTCTTCTGCTATATTTTTCCCAGAAGGATACCCACCCGATGTCAGTCTGAGCTCTCCTTTATGAGGTGACTCTGGATATATGGGGGCCGGGGAGCTACTTGTGGAGACAATCTGTCCTTTACAGGAGCTCAAGTGCTGAGCTGTGAGCTCTGTTGTTCCATTCAGAGCTGCTGAGCAGTACATTTAAGTTTGCTACAGCAGAACTCATAATCACCTTTTTTTCCCCTAGTGCTCAGTCCCAGGAAGGTAGGGCTTTATTTATAAGTTTCTGTCATGTTGCTGCCTTTTTTCAGGGACGCCCTGCCCTGTGAGGAGGTAGCTTAGTCACAGTCTTCCAGCAGAGGTGTTGCTGAGCTGCCGTGGGCTCTGCCCAGCTGCTGTGTGAACTTTCTTGAAGTTTTGTTTATAGGGGTATAGTTAGAACTGCCTCAGTAATGGCAGTCTGTCTCTGTAATGGTGAACTCTCTCAGTACTGGCAGACTGCCTCGGTAATGGTGGACACCCTTCCCCCACAGAGATGGACTATACTGGGTTCAGCGGTGCTTACTGTGAAACTCTCAGTCCAGAGAGTTTCAGATTGCTGGTCTTTGTGGGGGTGGGACCGGCCAAGCCAGATCACCTGGCTCCCTGTTTCAGTCCCCTTGTTTTTTCAGTTGAATGGGCAATTGTGTCTCCCAGGCATTCCAGTTTCCAGTTGAAACAGTGCCCGGATTTGTGTGAGTTTTTGTATGGAGACCCACTGTGCTCGCTGAAACAGCCATACTGGAGACTTGTGGCACTTTTTTTCCCAGGAATCTCCTGGCCTTGCTCCCTATTTCAGTCCCCTTTTGTTCAGTTGAATGGGCAACTCTGTCTCCCAGGTGTTCCATTTGCCAGGTGAAAAGGTGCCCAGATTTATGTGAGTTTTTGTTTTGGAGACCCACTGTGCCAGCTGAAACAGCCATGCCAGCGACTTGTGGTGCTTTTCTGCCCAGGAATCTCCTGGCCTGGCTCCCTTTCAGTCCCCATTTTATCAGTTGAATGGGCGACTGTGTCTCCCAAACATTCCAGTTGCCAGTTGAAATGGTGCCTGGATCTGTGTGAGTTTTTGTGTGGAGACCTGCTGTGCTGGCTGAAATAGCCATGCTGGAGACTGGTGGTGCTTTTCTGCCCAGGAATCTCCTGGTCTGTGGGCAATAAAAATTTGTTTGGAAATGCGGTGACCACTCACCCTCTGCATGTTAGCTGGGAGCTGCAGTCCAGAGCTGTTCCTATTCTGCCATCTTGGATCCCTCTGATATTAAGTATCTTTTCAAGTCCTCATTGGCCATTTATATATCCTCTTTGGAGAAATGTCTATTCAAGTTCTTTGTCCATTTTTGAATTGGGTTGCTTATTTTTTTGCTGTTGAATTATAGAAGTTCTTTATATATTCTGGATATGAATTCCTTATCTGGTATATGATTTGCAAATATGTTCTTCCATCATGTGGGCTGTCTTTTCACTCTCTTGGTAGTGTTCTTTGTTGAACAAATGGTTTTACATTTGAAGAAGTTCAATTTATTTTTCTTTTGTTGCCTATGCTTTTGGTATACTAAGAATCACCAAATCCAATGTCATGAAGCTTTCCTCTCGTTTTCTTCTAAGAGTTTTACAGTTTTCCTGTGATGTTTAGGTATTTGATCCATTTTTAGTTAATTTTTGTATATTAATGTAAGATAAGGTTGAACTTCATTCTTTTACATGCGGATATCCCATTTTCCCAGCACTTTTAATTGAAAAGACTGACCTTTTCCCATTGAATGGTCTTATATGTGAGAGTTAATTTCTGGGATTTCTGTTTTATTCTAGCTCCATATGTCTATTCGTATGCCTGTACCACACTCTTGATTGCTGTAGATTTATAACAAATTTCAAAATCAGGAATTGTGAGTCTTCCAGCTTTTTTGTTCCTTTTCAAGTCTGTTTTCATTATTAATAATAAAATCTTTTAATGTATATTCCAGGAAAAGTTTATGTGTTTGTTAACAATATATATCAGGTATGAAGATTTATCCCTGTGACATTCATGTTAATATTTTCAGCCTAACCTGACCTGAACTATAGGCTTGGAACTGCCTACCTGACATCTCCATCATGCTTCTCAACAATAACATTTCAAAACAGAATTCTTAATTTCTTTTTGAAATTTGTTTCTCCTGCCTTCCACAGCTTAATAAATAGAATCATATACCTTTTCTCTCTTTTTTTCACCGCTGCCCCTCCCCTCCCCCCCCCACCGATATCCAATCCTTCAGCAAGTTCTCTCTGGTTTTTCTTCAGAAAAGAACAGGTCCCAAACGTGCCCTGCCATCCTTACTACCCTAGTCCAAGTTATAATCATCAGGTCTCCCCCAATCCCCTACCCAATATATTCTCTTCACAAAAGTCAGGACATCTGAGATAAATTCTGAAATCTTACGTTTAAGACGGTGGTCCAAGTATTCTAAGATAATTTTAAATATTTGAATTAATGCAATAATTAAAGATCCAAATGCTAGGGATCCTGTGTGATATCTGCACAAAAATAAAATGAGAATAAGTTAAAACTTTACTATTATTTAAAAGGATGCTAATTGAATATTTTTCACAATTAAAAGGTATCTTCAGAAGGATTAACAGCAAAGAGCCTTTTGCATCCTCTTATTTAGACTGATAAAGATCTCCACAGAGGGTTTTAAACCATATACATCTGTCTCACCTTTCATCGACATAAATGACACTAATAGTCTATCATCATAAAATAGGATGTTTCAACTGCTCAATGGAGAACGAAGCTAATCCTCAGTCTTTCATTTGGTGTCCTCCTCTGTCTCTTTCTTTCTCTAGTAACCTACAGCATTTAGAAGGAAATTGGCTTGGGCAGGTATTATAAAACTGTGGCTGTGAAACCAGACAAAACCAATGGGCACCCATGAATCTTGAATCATACCTTTGACCTCATTTGTACCTTGCCAGTTGAATTAATGAGCTAAGACTAAATTACAAGCACACTAAATATAACTGAGGTGATAGGTGTAGGGCTCAACATGGAACTTACCGTATGGCTCGTCCAAATGAAGTAAAAAGTGGGTATCGTGGGATGTCATCAGGTTTTTTCATGGCCCAGTAATAAGTAGCAAATGCACCAGCAAGGGCACACTGACCCAATGCAATGACAAAGTTTATAAGCCAGAGAAAGACAAATAAGTTGTATACATGGAAACTAGGGATGTATTGATGGTACAAGCTCTTTCCACCATAGAACGCAAAGCTGCACAGAGCCCCAGGACAAGCTTTGGCAATTTCAGTTGTATTAAACATCTGCATTCAGAAAAAAGAACACAGAACATAATATTAAATGTCACTCTAAGAGAACACTTCCCTGTCTTTTCCTCTTCCCCCTAATTGCATGTTCTGTTTCTTCTCTATTATATCCTGCTATTACTCCTCTATTTTTCTATCATATCACTTTATATAATTCTCTAATGAGCTCTGGGAAACATCTAAAATGTCTCATTTTCCATTGAATGCTCATAATCTGCACCTATTCTAATCTCACATTTATCAGTGTTGTTGTTGACCATACCTACTTTGTTTGGTCTTGGGTATATGGAAGGACAGGCAAGCTCAGGAAATACAGTGCTTTCTCTCTATTCTACCCAGTGTTTTCAATACTCCTGCTAACCTGACGCACTCTCCCCTTCAGCACATAGTGGTCTCCATCAGTGCATAGGATCTCTGTTTCAGGACAATTCCCACGACAATTACAAAATGAACTGCAGCAGAATTCTATATTGAAGTAAGTAAATAAAAGAGTTTCTATATTGAAGTAAGTAACTGAAGCAAGTAAAGGTGTTTCTTACCTCTGGGTCACAGGTTTGATTTTCATGTATACAGTTCCCCTCTGGGGCTATGACTTTGTATACAGGTACCCCTGATGTCGCCAAGAAACTGAATAGACTCCATTAAGGATAAACATTGCTGGTAGATTGAAAATAAATGGACAAGAAAACAATTTACAGATAACTCAAAAGTGCATGATAAATTAACTTCCAAAATGCCAAATATTTTAATAATATTCATCTATTTTTCAGGCTTAGATTAATGTTATGTGGGCCAGCTACACTGAGTGGCCCCTTAAAAACAGTAAAATGTATAGGCGCTTTCTTGGCTTATTGCTAAGGAGTAGTATCATATGTGGAGATAAAATAAATCTATAATATGAACCATTTGAGGGGAAATTCAATCAGTAGACTGAGATGTTTTTAGAACTTGGGAAAAAAAATTAGTTATTTCTATAGGATATTTCTCATCTTCCCAGGGATAGAAAACACTGAACACGAACTCCTGGTTCATGAATAGCCATGTGAACCTGAGGTTTAGAGAGGCCAGTTTACCAAAGGATACACTGCTGTCATGACCCAGTAGCAAATGCAGATTGAGAGCAAAATGAAAGTTAAAGCTGGATAAACTAATGTGCTAGGAATGTATCCAATGGCTCTGAAATAAAACAAATAGTTGAAATTCAAAATGATTGTTAAAACTAGAAATAAGCTTTAGAATGAATCAATTCAAAGAAAACTGGTAATAACCATGTACTCTTTTTTGGTGATCATTCTGGCATATTCTCAGTTGGTTTTACATTTTTGTTTATTTATTTACCTATTTTTAAAAGTAAGTTGAGGCATTTTTCCCATGCACATGTCGACTCTTGCCTAAAGTTCCGCAGATTTCCTCCCTTTGGTTACTTCTGTCTGACCCATGAAGATTTGATACATTGCAATCATGACATTTCTTCCTTTTGTTTAGATTCTTAGACTTCTAAAATTGAAGAAGACCTTGAAGATCATGTGTCACACTGTGGGAATCCCCCACTAATTCAGGAATCCCCTATACTACCTTCAGGATGTGTTCAACAGCCTTTGGTGAACATCTTGAGTGATGGGTACTTACTTTCGCATGACATGGCTTATTCTATTTTCTTATCAAGGTTATTAGAAATTTCCTTCATATTTGCCTGTTTGTAAATTATATCCTCTAACTTCTGGAGAAGAAATGACCACTTTACCATTTTTTCCACATAGCAACCCTTCAGGTAATTCCTTATTCTTTTTTCCTTTAGAAAATATAATTTCTCTTTGCAGTTACATGTATTTTTAAATTACAAATTTAAATTATATATGAAAATTTAATTTCTAAAATGCAATTTTAGAAAATATAATTATCAAGGATAACAATTTCTTTGATATTTTCTAATAGGAAATGACTTGTGAAATGTTCACTATCTGATTGCACTACTTCTAGTGACTTCTGTTACATGACCTTTCAGCACATGACACTGGATAAACACAACACTGTTTCATATGGCCACTGAGAAATAAGGTGAAAATCTTATCACTCCTAATGCATTGACACTTAGATTCATTTTGTATTTGCTACCTTATTCCCCTCACTATTTAAGCTATACTGTTTTCTCTTTCTTCATATGCTGTTAATTATTGTGTGTCCTTAGGTTTACCCTGTATTCTCATGCCTATTTGAGTCATTATCCCCCGAGCAAACCATCAACCTGTTGCAGTTTTACTGGAAGTTTAACACAAACACATATGCTCACACAAATGCACATTTAGAAGTGAAACAAGTAGAGCAAGTTACAGTGAACTGCACAATATCATACTACTTAAGAAATAAACCCAGAAAATCAGTGGTTTTCAGTGGCTAATGATAGGGCTTCAGTTATTGTGGGAAGGAGAGAGAGTTTAACTAAGTGCTTGTTAACTATTTAAACCACTGGCTTCAGGTGGCACTATTACAATAAAATAATATGGCAATTTTGTTGAAATAATCCTTAAAGACTGTTAAAAATAATTTGGTTCTTGATCATTAACAATGTAGTTTCCATCATGCTAAGTAGAGAGCATGGGCTGTTAGCTTTAGAATAATGCTTTCCCGGTTACTTCCATGCATTATTAAAAAGTCCAGAGTATTATTCTTGAGTGACCTTTTGGAATAGTGTGGAAACTGCAGGGGTTATTTTCTCTCAGCATGAATTTTATGAAAGATTTAATGCTTATTTTGTAACTTAAATAAAATGAAAATGGCTCTGGGTTTAAAGTGTTCCTAAATTATAAGCTTTAGATATGAAATGTATAGTCTGGTGCTGCTAGAATCAATTGTCCTATTAGAAAATTTTGTCACTCAGACAGAAGTGGCAATAGCATATAACTGACTTTATAGAATTATGGTGATTTAAAGTTTTGCAAATAATCTCAACCATAAATACGAACATATGACCCAGTATGAAAATAATATAACATGTAATCTAGCTAGCTTTTATATAGCACTTTATCACTTACTTTCACATGTGTCATTCTCCTAACACATATTTGGTTTTCAAAAAATGCTAATACAAACACTAGATAGGTTTTACCCTTATTTTACCCTGTGATAATTGAGGATTGGGGATATTAAAGGACTTGTTAGTGGTGATTTTTCTAATAAGTGGCAGAGTGTGAACTTGAACAAATTTTCCTGAATGGAAAATGCTTTCCTTTAAAAGTCTTCTTAAAAGGAAAACAGGTAAGACATTTATGCAAAGGACAGTGACTGATTTTTACTGACTCATACACTTTAGCTGAGTTTCTACATTAAGGGCCTTACTTGCTTCCTTCCTTCAGCAGGATAATGGCCACTCGGATTCGATTCCTGAGGAAGATCAGCATGAGGATGACAGTCACTTCAATGATGCAGAGTATTATCACTTTGAACAGGAAAAAAAAAATCAGTCTGTAATACAAGTAGATACAAAAACAAACTTTCCCTAAACGCTAGGATTGAACTTTATGATTATTTCTGACAATTCTGACATCTCATACTCTAAGCAGTGTTAATCTCTCTCAAAATACCAATCTTAGAAATTAATTTTCAAAACCTCCACGAAATCCTAAGAAATCTAGATTAAAACCTTTAGCAACAGCTTGAACTTCTCTTTTGGAAAGCATTCATCCCATCCATAAAAACATTTCACACAACTTTTAGAAATTAGAAAATAGGCATGGAAGAAGGGAAGAAATGCTTTAGGAATTTCTGGTTTAGATGTTTCCACCTTTAGTTCATTGAGTAAGACAATATACAGAAGATACATTGTGAGGGGTTCACATTCCTCATAGAGTCTCTTAATTGTCCTTGCTGGCTGGCAGAGCAGGTTCTTGTCCCATTTTTATTTTGCGACTCTTCACACTATGGCCACCGTTGATGGAATCAGGGTGTAAACTTAACCCAACTTGGTCAATGTAAGTATTAGAATTAAAACTAAGGGAACCTAGTTTAGTCAACTTAGTTTAGTCTTAAAGATTATACATCTTGAATTGTGGGTTATACAAACTGTGTCAAAACCATCTTTATGTGAAATAAGTGAATCTGCAAAGAAAGAATATAAACGTATAAAGAAAGACAGCAAGGAGAAGAACTCTTGTTTCTTTTTGGGCTTCGTTTCCTGACTCCAAGTAATCTTTGAAGTCCAAGTAAACTTTTTTAAAAAAGTAAACTTTTTTTTTTAATTATCAAACTTAAATCGATAGACTAATCTTACAGGATAAACAATAAGACAGCTAGTCAAGGTTACACTTAAAAAAAAAAAAAATCCAGCAGCGCAAATCTAATAGACTAAATACGTTCATCTCCTCCCAAAGAGGCATTTGATTTAAAAACAGAAACCAGAACAGAGCGTACACCACAAGGAAACATGGTACTCGCATATATTGTCAAATAATTCTGCAGAACTCTTTAAGGAAAAAAAGGTTCTTAGAAATTGAGAAAGCAGTAGAACCACCCAGGCTGGCAGGTCAATCTACCAAATGTTCTGCATCTGAGAGGGCTCCCGACCACCTGTAACTTCAGAAAGGCCACCAGGCACTATTATGAAGGAAATAGGTGCCGATCCTAAATGGAGATGACTTTATCACAAAGACTTAAGACAAAGGGACCATCCTTTTCCAAGACAACAAGTGTGAACAGAGGCAAGGAGCAAGCAGCTGCCTTTCTGGTGTTTTTAGTTTGACGAGGCACTTCTATACCCTTATGGTAAATACTGCCTGCTCTGCTCTCAGCCTGCTCCAGTTTTCTTTTCTCTTCAGCTAGCTTGAGTTTATTTTTTTTTAAATAATTGAAAATTGAAGCCAAATTGCATCAATTATTATATTTCCTCAATTCTAGGACACGCCCTTAATTAAATAACTTTTTGGGAAAAGTAAAGAAAAACTTCATTAAATGTTTATTCAATAATTTGAAAATGTATCTTGATTTCAGAAATGTTAAAAAGTAAAAAAGGTATGGATCTTAAAATCAAGAATCAGAATCTGCAAGTATAAAAGGAACTTAATGGAAACTTATTTCCCACTTGTGAAGGAATTCAGTCTATAACCTCCTTGCTAGATGGTTATTTAGCTCATGCTCAAACAGTTCCAGTGATGAAGAGCTCATTATTTCATTTTATTGTTATATCACTAAAATTCTGACACATCACACATCAGTTACCATCTCCAAGTAGACGTTCACCCCAAGGTATATAAGGATCTTACTAATGTATCATATCACTTCTACATCTTCCTTTAGTTATACTGTGTATTTATGTTTTCATGTACATTTTATTCTCTTAAAACACTAATTTAGGCCAGGCCCAGTAACTCACACCTGTAATCCCAGCACTTTGGGAGGCCGAGGCAGGCGGATCAGAAGGTCAAGAGATCAAGAACATCCTGGCCAACATGGTGAAATCCTGTCTTTACTAAAAATACAAAAATTAGCTGTGCATGGTAGCGCACACCTGTAGTCCCAGCTACTCATGAGGCTGAGGCAGGAAAATCACTTGAACCTGGGAGGTGGAGGTTGCAGTGAGCCAAGATCGTGCCACAGCACTCCAGCCTGGTGACAGAAAGAGATTCCATCTCAAAAAAAAAAAAAAAATTAACCCCAAATTGTGGAGTATAACCATATAATGCTAAAATTGTTATCTTCTTTGAACAAACCTACAAAGATAATACATATAAGGATCACTTTATGACATTGCACTGTTAAACTGTATATTTAACTTCTACCTTCATAAAATTGCATATTCAAAATAATTACATTAGAGAAATATAACTGTCTTTTGAACTTATATATGGTCATACACTGCATGACCATATATAACATATACAATGCCTGTCCCAATATTATAATGGAGCTGAAAAATTCCTATTGCCCAGTGGCATTGTAGTGCAATGCATTACTCATGTGTTTGGAGTGATGTTGGCGTAAACAAACCTATTGTGCTGACAGTCATATAAAAGTACAGCACATATAAGTATGTACAGCATATAATACTTGGTAACAATAATGAATATGTTGTGTTATGTATTTACTACACAATACTTTTTGTTATTTCAGAGCGTACTCTTACTACTTACTGTAAAAAACAGTTATATGTAAAACAGCTTCAGGTGGGTCTTTCAGGAATATTCCAGAAGAAGGTATTGTTACAGGAGATGACAACTCCATGTTTTTTTATTGTCCCTGAAGACCGTCCAGTGGGACAAGATGTGGAGGTGGAAGAAAGTGATACTGATGATACTGACCCTGTGTAAGTCTAGGATAATATATGTGTTTGTGTCTTCAAATTTTTTTTTTGTTTCTAATTTTTTAAATAAAATAGAGAAAGGGCCTCATTATGTTGCCCAGGCTAGTCTTGAACTCCTGGGCCCAAATGATCCTCCCACCTTGGCCTCTCAAAGTACTAGGATTACAGGCATGAGCCACTAAGCCTGGCCTGTGTCTCGGTTTTTAACAAAACATATTAAAAGAAAAGAAAGAAACCCTTAAAAATACAAAAATACAAAAAAAAAATACTTACAAAAAGTAAAGAAAGAAAATGTTTTCTGTACAGCTATACAATGTGTTTGTATAAGTGTTATTATAAAAAAGTCAAAAACTAAAGGTAAATGTTATTATAAAAGAAGAGTCAAAAAGATTAAAAAATTAAAAATTTATAAAGTAAAAAAGTTACAGTAAGCTAAGGTTAGTTATTGAAGAAGGAAAGCTTTTAATACGATTGTTGTAGCCTATGAGTACAGTGCACATAAAGTCTACAGTAGCGTACAGTAATGCCCTTCACATTCACTCACCACTCACTCACAGACACCCAGAACAACTTCCAGTCCTGCAAGCTTCATTCATGGTGTACCAGGTAAAAAAATATTTTGTGGATGGCCAATTAGACACAACTCCAGCACACAACACCCAGTGAGAGAGACGAAGAAATCCAGAGATCTCCTAGCTCCAACTGAGGTACCTACCAGGTGCATTTCAACGGGTCTGGTCTGACAGTGAGCAAAGCCCACTCAGGGCAGACCAAGGTGGACAGGTCTGCTGCTTCACCCAGAAAGTGCATCTGACCAGCCAGTTGGAGGCTCCACCTCTGGCGCTCTGGTCCAGATACAGCGCCTCCCCCAAAGCCTCAGCAATACACAGAACAGGGGGTCTTTGCCAGTTAAGCACTAAGAATTACAAGTGTGGAGTTGAATAATAATCCAGGACGGTATCCTGGATTGGCGCACAGACCTAAACAGATGCATAAGCCCAAAAGGCAGCTGGAAGAGCCTGAGGACTGAGCTATCGCCCCCTCCACCCACCCGAAGAGAGAGGGAGATATAAGCGGGAGCAGCTGGGCGGGCCCCTACCCCACGACCAGAGAAAGAGGTAGCTGAAAGAGGGAGTCAGCCAGGTACAGCTAGGCAGTCCCTACCCTCCCCCACAAACCCTAGAGGGCTGAAGCTCTGACTCTAATGGGTTGTGCAGCCAGTGCCACAGTCTGAGACAAACCCTGAATGATCCAGCTCAGTGGAGGAAGGGCACAACCCACCATTAGAGGGGTGGGACTGGGCTACATGTTTTAACAAAAAACACAGGAAGCCTACGTAGCAACAGGACTGGACAGGATGGCATTCTTGACAACCCAGCAGCCCCTACAGGTCAGCTAAGAGGCGGGCCTAACCTCCCAGTATAAACAAAAGACGCAGGAAGATTCCATAGTAACCTGAAGGAGTCCCTAAAAACCCACTAGCCCCTCCACAGGCAGACAAGTGACCTCATCAAGCAGCTCCCTGACACCACAGCCAGGTCCATCCACAAAGATGAGGATAAAAACAGCGCAAATAAGATGAAACCATCAAAGACCAGAACACTTCTTCTCCCTCAAGGGATCACAACTCCTCAACACAGGATCACAACGTGACCAAGAAGGAGTGTGACGAATTGACAGAAACAGGCTTCAGAAGGTGGATAATAGTAAACTTTTCTGAGCTAAGGGAACATGTACTAACTCAATGCAAAGAAACCAAAACCCTGAAAAAAAGTTAGACAAAATGCTAACTAGAATAACCAGCTTAGAGAAGAACATAAACGACTTGATGGTGTTGAAAAACACAGCACGAGAACTACGTGAAGCAAACACAAGTTCTAACAGCCGAATCGATTAAGCAGAAGAAAGGATATCAGAGATTGAAGATCAACCCAATGACATAAAAAGAGAAGGCAAGACAAGAGAAAAAAAGAGTGAAAAGAAATGAACAAAGCCTCCAAGAAATATGGGATTATGTGAAAAGATCTAATCTACACTTGATTGGTGTACCTGAATATGATGGGGAGAATGAATCCAGGCTGGAAAATACGCTCCAGGATATTATCCAGGAGAACTTCCCAAGCCTAGCAAGGTGTCCCACATTC